AGATTATTTTCAATTTCCAGCATCTTGTGCTTTCAATGTATTGTATTATGATGGTTTTATTTGCTGCGATCACTTGTCGTCGGAGAAAAGGTGCAGCACGCGATATAAAACCTTCGATACGAACCTTCTTAGCGGTAGGTGTGCTTAATGAATGACTTTTCTCGTCGTTTAAGTAGCTAGTAGATTTGATTTGTTTTTACAAGAACGAAATGGCGCAGTGATTTCGAAAAGCGCACCGGAAGCTTGAATTTCTCTTCTGATTTCTTGAGATTTTTAAGAATTGTTAGCTTAGGACAGAAAGGCAAAATCGGTTGGAATGGATTCTGGTTCCATGGTCGAAGACCCTAAACAAGAACAAAATGTGAAAGATAAGGTGCAGAATGAGGAAAAACCTGTTGAAGAAAGTAAGACGTGGAGGAAGAAAATAAAACACAATTTTGGCAAGTTCAGAGAAAACACAAGCGTCAGAACAGCAGTTACTCGACGTTGCTCAAGAAATGTATCAAATGCAGCAAAAGAGATTGGCTGAGACGCAGGGGATAGGTATGGTAGTATACTCTCACAAAGAAATGTATGAATTTTTCAGAACAAGATGGAGGTGACTACGAAAATTTCGGACCATCTAAAAAACCCGACACTCCAGAACGTTCAGCCCATTTGATTGTCACTGCGCGTCCGACATTAGCTTCAAATTCCACCAAGGAAAAAAATTCAGCCAAAAATTCGACGAAGAAAGATACATCAGCTCGCTTGCCAACGGACGCCACTCAGGACATGAGTATAGTGGAAAAGTCAAAAATGTACAAGATCAGAAGAGGTGAAGTTGCTATATGAGGACAAAGATTCCGATGTTGCAATTTCGGATCGATTCATTATTGATTCATCACTGTTCATCGACTAATAAAGCAAATTTAATTCAAACCAGTGCGAAACTTGTTTCAGCAGAGGTTAAAGGCAGTGGATCGGCAAAACTTGACAACTCAGGATTTTGACGCGATAGTTTGCGTAAGCCCAAGCATGAAAACAGTGCAATCTAGGTAGCGCAGTTGCCTTCCCAACCGAGAAAACTGCTCTCAGCCTTATATGCGGAAGCCAATCTTACACGCGTTCGGACGAAATGTAAGGTCCTCTCTTTCACCATTGAAGGCTGTTCGCCACAATGCTATAACCATTGGGTCGCAACGATTGGCATCATCAGCTTTGCTGCACTTGCCCCGATTTCGAGAAGGGCATTGAGAAACGCTTGTTTTCGCTGCCTTCAAGCTCTCTAAAACGGATTTTTGGGATCAGCGCATTGGATAACCCCAGGTGAAGTATTGGACTAGGGTTCGTGGTTGCGTTGGTTCTTATAAAATTGTAGATTTTTGTTGCTTGAAATGTATGTGGACATCGAAGATCACGCTTTCCCTAAGGCTGATATGCACCTCAGCGCAACGACGTGCGAGAAAACCTCTCAGCAAGAGTTTTAAACGACGAGCGTAATTATTGTACCATATGTAGCGGCTTTGCAGGCAGCTCCACGGCTGCCCGGGAAGTACCACTTGCTACGCACCCGCTGCCCAGTCGCTGCGTCGACGATGACAAATTACGCCGGATATGTTCCGTTTTACAAACCTGTGCGCTAGGAAGTACGGAGGATGTTTGCATGATATATACAAAGACCTTTTTCCAAATCTTAACAAAAAACGTTTGAGACAGATTTGAATTACTGAGGAGCTTTCAGCTTTTGAAAAGTATTTGTGAGAGCAAAAAAAT